GTCCGAGAACCGGCAAGGAGACGGGACCATTTCGGCCTCATTTGAATATTGTAATTAGGGAATTCATCATCCGGCGAGGATTGTAATGGTTTGCTCGTCAGGCGCTCTCAAATACTAAGTGGGCGTTAGCTTAGCACTGGCACGGAAGAGTCTCTTTTGCTGCTATTGCTGCCCTGGGAGGGGAGTAGGGGCTAGGGGTTAGAGCAGAACCGGCAAGGAGACGGGACCATTTCGGCCTCATTTGAATATTGTAATTAGGGAATTCATCATCCGGCGAGGATTGTAATGGTTTGCTCGTCAGGCGCTCTCAAATACTAAGTGGGCGTTAGCTTAGCACTGGCACGGAAGAGTCTCTTTTGCTGCTATTGCTGCCCTGGGAGGGGAGTAGGGGCTAGGGGTTAGAGCACAGAGGACTGGGACCCCGGGAGCCTGGTTCCCCCCCCCCGGCTGTGGGAGGGGAGTGGGTTTAGCAGGTTAGAGGGGGCAGCCCGGACGCCTGGGTCTGACAATCCTACATCAGTCCCCGAACCGGCCCTTCCTGCCTGGAGCTCCCTGTTTTGTTCAGCCAGCCGGGGAGCGTGGGCAGCAGGTGCCGGAGAGGGGGCAACGCCGGACATGGGGCAGCCGGAGCCTGGCACAGGGAGGTGCCCGAAGGACAGCGCCTGGCCGCGATACGGACAGTGGACTCCTCCATAAAGTAGAAAGCACTACTAAACCGCAGCGTCCAGTGTAGTGTTTCCTACTTTATGGATGAGTGTACTGTGAGCAACGGGAGGAGACCACCGGCTGCAGGGGACCCAGGAGTCCGGGCACTGGGGGGCGCAGGACCCGGACTGAATGGACACTAACACGGGGGGGTAGGACCCAGGCCTCAGGCGGGAGTTGAAGGGGGCTGGGAGGAGAAACATGGGGCTGGTTGCTGTGCCGGGCCAGGGGTGGTGGTGAGAAGGGAACCAGGAAGCCAGGCCCTGTGGGTGGGGCTGGAAGGGGACCGGTGGCAGGCTGGGGGGAGCAGACAGGACCCAGGCACGGGAGAAGAGCAGGGAGCCAAAGGGGTTGCAGGGTCAGAATGGAGGGACCCAGGAGTCCGGGACTCGGGGAGATGCAGGGACAAGCCCGAGACTTGCCGGGGAGAAGTGAAGATCAGGAAGCAGCCAGGGTCTGCTCCGAAGGGGGGTTCAAATCTCTGCGGGGCGAAGCAGGTGGAGACGGTGGATCGGGGGAGGCTCCAGAGACTGACTCTGTTCAAATAAACGGCTGTTCCGGTCCAAACACTCAACCTGCCTCTGCGAGTTCATGGGCGTGGGGCGGGGGCCCGCAAGGCACCAGCCGCATGCAACGCAGAGACGTTTGGAAGGCAGTGGGCGGGAAGGCCTATTCTGCGGCGGGGAGGGAGGGGGCAAAACGAACCCCCTCGTTTGGGGCGGGGCGCAGGGACAGAGGTAAAGGAAAAGATTCATCTCACCTTGACAACGAAGAGTTAACGCACTGCGCCCGGGCACCACCCTGGGCAACGGAGCCATCACCTCCTGCCGGGGGTCAGCAGGGAGAGCCCCCTCTCTGCCCCACAGCGCCCCCTAGTGCTGCCCTGGGGCACCGGGCCAGCCCTGCCTGCCCGGGGAGAGCGCCCCCTGCTGAGCCTGCCCCACAGCGCCCCCTAGTGCTGCCCTGGGGCACCGGGCCAGCCCTGCCTGCCCGGGGAGAGCGCCCCCTGCTGAGCCTGCCCCACAGCGCCCCCTAGTGCTGCCCTGGGGCACCGGGCCAGCCCTGCCTGCCCGGGGAGAGCGCCCCCTGCTGAGCCTGCCCCACAGCGCCCCCTAGTGCTGCCCTGGGGCACCGGGCCAGCCCTGCCTGCCCGGGGAGAGCGCCCCCTGCTGAGCCTGCCCCACAGCGCCCCCTAGTGCTGCCCTGGGGCACCGGGCCAGCCCTGCCTGCCCGGGGAGAGCGCCCCCTGCTGAGCCTGCCCCACAGCGCCCCCTAGTGCTGCCCTGGGGCACCGGGCCAGCCCTGCCTGCCCGGGGAGAGCGCCCCCTGCTGAGCCTGCCCCACAGCGCCCCCTAGTGCTGCCCTGGGGCACCGGGCCAGCCCTGCCTGCCCGGGGAGAGCGCCCCCTGCTGAGCCTGCCCCACAGCGCCCCCTAGTGCTGCCCTGGGGCACCGGGCCAGCCCTGCCTGCCCGGGGAGAGCGCCCCCTGCTGAGCCTGCCCCACAGCGCCCCCTAGTGCTGCCCTGGGGCACCGGGCCAGCCCTGCCTGCCCGGGGAGAGCGCCCCCTGCTGAGCCTGCCCCACAGCGCCCCCTAGTGCTGCCCTGGGGCACCGGGCCAGCCCTGCCTGCCCGGGGAGAGCGCCCCCTGCTGAGCCTGCCCCACAGCGCCCCCTAGTGCTGCCCTGGGGCACCGGGCCAGCCCTGCCTGCCCGGGGAGAGCGCCCCCTGCTGAGCCTGCCCCACAGCGCCCCCTAGTGCTGCCCTGGGGCACCGGGCCAGCCCTGCCTGCCCGGGGAGAGCGCCCCCTGCTGAGCCTGCCCCACAGCGCCCCCTAGTGCTGCCCTGGGGCACCGGGCCAGCCCTGCCTGCCCGGGGAGAGCGCCCCCTGCTGAGCCTGCCCCACAGCGCCCCCTAGTGCTGCCCTGGGGCACCGGGCCAGCCCTGCCTGCCCGGGGAGAGCGCCCCCTGCTGAGCCTGCCCCACAGCGCCCCCTAGTGCTGCCCTGGGGCACCGGGCCAGCCCTGCCTGCCCGGGGAGAGCGCCCCCTGCTGGGCCCTGCCCCGCTCCCCGCAGCCCAGCGCACAAACCATGGCAAACACCTGCCCACTCCCCACAGGGAGAGAAGCAGAGCATCAAGAGGCACCAGCAGAGCCCTGTGTGGAGTGAGCCCAGGGCTGATACAGGGGGTCCCTCCTGTGGCCCCCCCGCCGTGCTCAGTGCTGCCCCGGGGAGCCCACCCCGCTGCGGGGCCCCACGGCGCAGACGCAAGGGAGGGCGCAGGCTCTGCCTAGATACAGGGGGTCCCTCCTGTGGCCCCCCCGCCGTGCTCAGTGCTGCCCCGGGGAGCCCACCCCGCTGCGGGGCCCCACGGCGCAGACGCAAGGGAGGGCGCAGGCTCTGCCTAGATACAGGGGGTCCCTCCTGTGGCCCCCCCGCCGTGCTCAGTGCTGCCCCGGGGAGCCCACCCCGCTGCGGGGCCCCACGGCGCAGACGCAAGGGAGGGCGCAGGCTCTGCCTAGATACAGGGGGTCCCTCCTGTGGCCCCCCCGCCGTGCTCAGTGCTGCCCCGGGGAGCCCACCCCGCTGCGGGGCCCCACGGCGCAGACGCAAGGGAGGGCGCAGGCTCTGCCTAGATACAGGGGGTCCCTCCTGTGGCCCCCCCGCCGTGCTCAGTGCTGCCCCGGGGAGCCCACCCCGCTGCGGGGCCCCACGGCGCAGACGCAAGGGAGGGCGCAGGCTCTGCCTAGATACAGGGGGTCCCTCCTGTGGCCCCCCCGCCGTGCTCAGTGCTGCCCCGGGGAGCCCACCCCGCTGCGGGGCCCCACGGCGCAGACGCAAGGGAGGGCGCAGGCTCTGCCTAGATACAGGGGGTCCCTCCTGTGGCCCCCCCGCCGTGCTCAGTGCTGCCCCGGGGAGCCCACCCCGCTGCGGGGCCCCACGGCGCAGACGCAAGGGAGGGCGCAGGCTCTGCCTAGATACAGGGGGTCCCTCCTGTGGCCCCCCCGCCGTGCTCAGTGCTGCCCCGGGGAGCCCACCCCGCTGCGGGGCCCCACGGCGCAGACGCAAGGGAGGGCGCAGGCTCTGCCTAGATACAGGGGGTCCCTCCTGTGGCCCCCCCGCCGTGCTCAGTGCTGCCCCGGGGAGCCCACCCCGCTGCGGGGCCCCACGGCGCAGACGCAAGGGAGGGCGCAGGCTCTGCCTAGATACAGGGGGTCCCTCCTGTGGCCCCCCCGCCGTGCTCAGTGCTGCCCCGGGGAGCCCACCCCGCTGCGGGGCCCCACGGCGCAGACGCAAGGGAGGGCGCAGACTCTGCATTTCGTAGTTTATTTCACAGAAAAAGTCTCCTTGCTGTACAGATTAAAAAAAAAATTAAACGCTTTTAAGAAACGTGAAGAAACTTCTGCCCCCCTCCCCCAAAATCTGCCCTTCGCTTTAGGGTTTCTCAGCCAGCTCGCCGCCCCCAAACCGCAGGGAGCCCAGGACAGCCCCCGCACCCCCAAACCGCTCGGGGGGGGGCAGCCCAGCCCCCACGTGCTCCGCAAGTCCCTTGCTTGGGGGTCCCACAACCTCAACTCTGCCCCCCCCAGCCCCAAATGTCACTGGCTGCACATGGAGCCTGACTGGGGGGGGCTCCCGGGAGGAGGGCAGAACTCGGGGCTGCTCACAGCCCCCCAAGGAGCTCCCCAGGGAGCCCCCCGGGAGGCCGAAGGGGCGCCTGCCCCATTGTCATGGCCGGGGCACTCAAACGGGCTGGCTCGCAGATGTTGCCAGGGCCACCCCTCCCCTCCTGGTGGGGTGAGCTAAGCTCCGGGGGTTTGGGGGGATTTGCCCCCTGAAAATTGGGGGTGCTTCCTCAAATGTAGGGGGCCTTGCAGCGCGGGGCTCTCGCCAGCGCCCTGCCCCGACTGAGAAACGCTAAACCGACCGGCTTCTCGGCTCCCCTCCCCACCCAACCCCTCCACTTTTTTTGTGTTTTCCTCTTGAACCATTTTTTGTCTAAATCAACCCAACTCCCCCCTCCCCCCGTCTCAAAACACAGAAGTTTTGTCGGTTTTTTTTTATCGGTAAAACTCACAGAAGAGAAAAAACTGAAACGCTCACATGGGAAAAAACGAGATTCGAATCACGACGGGGCGGGGCCCCGGCAGCCAAGGGGGCGGGACGTCGCCGCCGACCAATGAGGGAGAGGGAGGGGAAGGAAGGTTGGGGAAGAGCCAATGGAAACGAAGGAGGCGGCTGCCGGAGCGACTGCTAGAGGACGCGGCTGTTGGAGGCCGGGCAGAGCCCCACGGGGCTACGGGGACCTGAGAAGAGAACGGAGGGAGGAGTTAAGGGGACACAGGGGCAGGCCTACCCCTGGTGGAGCAGGGGGGGAATGCAGACCCTGTAGCTCTGCCCCATGGGCCCATCTACCCCAGCATCCTGCCTCCTCCCTGTGCTCCAGAGCAGCCTCAGGAACCTTTACTCCAGTGTCCCCGCCCCGC